TCTCTTGGAGCCATAGCCTAAACCCAACAGGAAGTCTGCCATTTTGAATTTTACGTCAAATTTTGGATGATTTACACACTTCGTACTTTAACGAACTCCTCCTAGGGATTTAGTCCGACCGACTTCAAAATTCTGCTGTGCCTTCTAAAGGCATTGAAGATGAAAAGTTGTGCTATTTGCGAGTTTTCGTCAATGGGCGTGTCCGTGGCGTGGCGTCAAAGATCAAGTCTTCGCCATGACGCAGAAGTTGTTGTAACTTCAGTGTATATGCTCACATCTGGACCAAACTGTACATGTATGATGAGAGTCCAGCCCTGAACACATGGACATGCCGACATTCACCCACGGTCATAGCGCCACCTGCTGGCAACAGGAAGTGACTTTTAACGAAGCAGCCCCCGCCACACGTTTCACCTACGTGCACGAATTTTCTGTGGTACGTGTATCTTGTCCAGACGCACAAAAAAGTCTCTTGGAGTGATGCCCTAAAACCAACAGGAAGTCGGCCATTTTGAATTTTACGTCAAATTTTGGATGATTTACACACTTCGTACTTTAACGAACTCCTCCTAGGGATTTAGTCTGACCGACCTCAAATTTGTGCTGTGCCTTCTAAAGGCATTGAAGATGAAAAGTTGTGCTATTTGCGAGTTTTCGTCAATGGGCGTGTCCGTGGCGTGGCGTCAAAGATCAACTCTTCGCCATGACACAGAAGTTGTTGTAACTTCAGTGTACATGCTCACATCTGGACCAAAGTGTACATGTAGGATGAGAGTCCCGCCCTGAACACATGTACATGCCGACATTCACCCACAGTCTTAGCGCCACCTGCTGGCAACAAGAAGTGACCTTTAACGAAGCAGCCCCCGCCGCACGTTTCACCTACGTGCACAAATTTTCTGTGGTACGTGTATCTTGTCCAGACGCACAAAAAAGTCTCTTGGAGCCATAGCCTAAACCCAACAGGAAGTCGGCCATTTTGAATTTTACGTCAAATTTTGGATGATTTACACACTTCGTACTTTAACGAACTCCTCCTAGGGATTTAGTCCGACCGAACTCAAATTTGTGCTGTGCCTTCTAAAGGCATTGAAGATGAAAAGTTGTGCTATTTGCAAGATTTCGTCAATGGGTGTGTCCGTGGCGTGGCGTCAAAGATCAAGTCTTCGCCATGACACAGGAAGTTGTTGTAACTTCAGTGTACATGCTCACATCTGAACCAAACTTTACGTGCTTGATAACTCTCCCACCCCCCTATGGAGGACCGATCCTGACACAGTCAGAAATAAATACAGAAATAAATAAGTGCTCAATAAATAAATAAGCATCCAATTAAATACATAAAAAAATAAAGTGAATAAATAAATGTAGGTAGTAATTAAATTATACAAGGAGACATAAATGTATATATTTGAATTAGTGCCTTTACTTATTCACCTTTGTTATAATTACCTTATTTGTTTATTCAACTTTATTTATTACTAATTTTTTAAATGTATTTATTTATGTGTGTTTTAATATTTTTGTCTGTTTTATTCTTCCTTTGTATTTATTTACCTTATTTATTTTCACCCATGGTATTTATTTCTGCCTGTCTTTTTAAAATTTTGTATGCATTTCTGCCTCATTATGCAAATGAGGAGGGGCTGTGTCTCAAGGGGTCATCTTCTCTGCTATTGGTGGACCAGTCAGACAGGAGAGCTCCTACTCTGCCTGCAGACATCAACGATCTTGCCCCTCACACAGTCAGATGGCTTCCTTCAGTGCGCTGAGGTGTTTAATAACTCTGAAGACACTACCAGCAATGTCTTCCTTCTCTTTTCACGTAGACGCTCCGACAGACAGTGCTTTCAGTTTGCTGCATGCATGGACACAGAACTGCGGTATAGGGAGAAGCACACGGTCAGCTGGCTGCAGCTAAATCTGGAGTGCACTCGTATTCAATTCTGTATGGTAAATTCAGTTTTAACGGAGCAGAGCGAGCTGACAGGCAGAGTTAGAGACTTTTTATGTCCGTTTCTCTCTTTACAAAGACGCATGTTGCAGTCAGAGTCTTCTCTGAGATGCGAGCACGACATACAACACAATTTATCAAATTACACATCGGATATACAGTATGAAAATAAGATTGATTGGATTATACTCACAGGAAGTATAAAACCTCTTACATGGGTCTATTAAAAGTAAAGTAACACATTTCTGCATTTCTTCTTCTTCGTTGCATGATTTAGAATAATAAGGTGAGAAATGGGTCTATTCTGAGTTCATCCTGCACTGCAGCAGCTAATAAAGTCCATTTAATCCCAAAAACGCTTTTCTTTTAGGCAGGCTGGAGCAGAAAACAACTCACCTTTCTCAAGTTGTACAGTAATGTCACATGTGTATGAAGGTGGATCAAACAAGCTAATCTTAAATGTCAAAGTAGAGAGGAGCCTAGTAGGCCTATTTATTTTCATTCATTACACAATATGAATAAGCTATGCAGACAGTTGTAAAGAAAGAACATCTTTTTCTTCTGTTCTCTACTTGTTATAGTTACACAGTATTAGGGGTGTGGGCTGTATTAAAAGTATCCACTGTTCTCCCATGCTCTAACACACAGTAACGATGAAATGTGTGCTGTTCTCACATTCTTCCTCTGTATGTACACATAAACAACAAGGCAGGGAAATATAAAAGGAATTTATTTTATTGTTTGGGTACATTATTGTTCAGTGTACATGCTCACATCTGAAACAAACTTTACGTGCTTGATAACTCTCCCACGCCGCAGACATCTACACACCAATACCGATTTATATTCATAGCGGCAAGTGCTATGTAGCTCCACATAGGGGACACAGGAAGTGACATATAGCACCTTCATGCGGCGTCGGAACCGCGTAGGAAATTCACAGCCGCACCGGCAGAGCTCCAGAATATGCAACTCGGCCGGCTCACGCGTGGACGCGCTACAAGTGCGAGGGCCCGCCCAATGCTGCTTGCAGCTTTAATGTTTTCCTTGTATCTGCTTCCCCTTGGACATATTATCGATAAACATGGTATTTTTTTTCATATTTATGCTGATGACACACAAATATACTTGCCCGTCAGATCCACAGACCCTGGAATGCTGAGTTCACTTAACAACTGCCTTTGTGAAGTTAAAAAATGGATGTCAAATAATTTCCTCCAGCTGAACTCAGACAAAACAGAAATCCTGGACATTTGGTCCCAGCAGATAGCAAAACAAATACTGCCATCTGCTGGTTCCCTAGTAAATCACATTAAACCTGTTGCAAAGAACCTTGGTGTCTGATTTGATAGTAATTTAAATTTCAAGCAGCACACCACAAAGCTTGTTTAATCATGTTTTTATCAACTTAGAAATTTAGCAAAAATTTGATCTATGTTAACTTTTAAGGACACCAAGACCATTTTACACGCCTTCATCTCATCACACCTGGATTATTGCAACAGCCTTTTCACTTGTTTAACCCAAAAATCTACTGATCGACTCCAGACTGTCCAGAACTCAGCTGCCAGGCTTTTAACCAGAACAAAGAAATATGACCACATTACCACTATTTTAGCTTCATTACACTGGCTCCCAGTATGTTTTAGAATTGACTTTAAAATTTTATTGATCACTTTTAAAGCTCTTCGTGGCCTCTCGCCTTGTTATATTTCTGACCTTTTAGTCCCATACACACCAGCACGTACCTTGAGATCCTCGGACAGAGGTCTGTTGTCTGTTCCAGAGTCTCGACTGAAAACTAAAGGGGACAGAGCGTTTGCTGTCAGGGCCCCGAGGCTCTGGAACAGCCTGCCCGAGGAAATCAGGTCGGCTGAGTCAGTGAACTCTTAAGTCCCTTCTTAAAACATAGGAGAGCCTTTCCCGATCTTATTTGACTTTATTTTATCCCTTTTATTTTATTCTATTTTACTTATTTTATATTTATCTTAAACGTGTATTTTAGTCTTTTCAATATTTTCCTGGTTTTAACTTGTATTGTTTCTGTATTATTGTTTTTTTGGGTATTATTGTCTATACACTTGTTAAAGCACTTTGTAACTTGTTTTTGAAAAGTGCTCTACAAATAAAGATTGTAAAAGATTACTATCAGGACATGTCGGTCCAAGGCCCTGATTGTGACCTCAGCACTTTCTATGTTACTCCGTGTTTTGGTTCGTGATCTACACGAACAGGCTGCTTTCACACCTAACTTGTTTAGTTTGGTTGAACAAACTCTGATGCGTTTTCCTGATTAGTACCAGCCTGTCCTCACCAGAAAAGAAAAATAAATAAGAAAAAGAAAAATGTTTTTTCCCTTGGCAACAACATTGTACCTTTCTCAGCCGACAGTGGACAGTGGAATAACAAAAACAAAAGCCGCCCCTGGATAACAAGTAAAATATTAAACTTGCAAGCAGTGTTGGGTGAGCCCTCGCATGTGTAGCGCATCAGGGAATGCCGTGGCCATGCCGCAGATGCAGCAGCTCTGACTACAAGGTTCTGAATTGTCACGTGCCGATGGCACGCCACGAGCAGGACGTTCCATGAAAACTCACCATTTGTACAACTTTCAATCATCAATGGCTTTAGACTTGACAGCGAAACTTTAAAGTCAATCGGACTAATTCTCTAGGAGCAGTTTGTAAAAGTATGGAGCCTGTAAATCGCTAAAAATTACCATAAAATTCTAAATGACTGACTTCCTGTTAGGTTTAGGGCATCGCTCCAAGAGGCTTTATTGTATGTCTGGACATGCTACAGAAATTTCAGACACTTAGGTGAAGAGAGCTGCTCAGTAGGGGCGCCAACGAGTCATTAAAAACGAGCCATAAAAAACGTAATTTTTCGCCTCACACTACTTTAAGGTACAAATGTTAAGTTAGATCTGAAAATATCTGAAATCCTCCTTTAAACACTGTGATATAGAAAATGTTAATGTTTCTCCCAACCTGAGCTGATCTGACACATTGTGTGTCCAAGTGATTTGCTGATGTTTTGTACTTACACTGGACATCTATGGATACAGATGTGGAGTTGATCTGGCCCAACTCATTCTCAGACTTGCAGTGGTAGATCCCGCTGTCCTTAGAGCTGATAGAGGTGAAATGATAAATGTCCTCTGGTCCCTGAATCAGTGTTTGGTTCTCCTTGTACCAGGTGTATTTAGCTGCTGGGTTAGCATCACTGCTGCAGGTCAGAGTCACTGAACTGCCCTCCACTATCTCAGCAGAGGGACTCACTGACACAGAGGGAAGCTTTGGAGCATCTGGGGAACAAAAGAGAGACAACTTATATTTGTTTACAAGCCTGTTTTTAGGCATGGGGTGCCACGAGCTAGGAGGAGCAATACAAGTTATTATTTATTGATTCATTTGATTTATTATTCTGATGTCCCAGTTGTTACTTTGTTATCCGCCTGCTTTAGAAATCCTGCTTCATGAGTAAGGCTGTTGTCTCCTCTACAAAGCTAGCTAGCAGGCTTTAATAACCACTAATAGACCTGTACGTGAAACTTGGTCACAGGTGTCGTCTTCATGGCCCTTTTCTATAAAGACACTTAGTGGCCTCCCACATGAATCACAAAAATTTACCCAAAAACTTCTCATGTTTTGGGAAAAACATAATTTCTTCAGTTTGTTGTTGGAACCTCACATTGTGGCAGGTGCATAGCAATTTACATGCTTTTATTTATAGGGGAGCTGCGTGCAATTTCCATGTGGTTGGCACAGCACCACTGACATTACATCTTTCAAACACAGTGTCAAAGCTTGGTGAGTTATGTGATTGACCTCCTGTGGTTTTCTACACACAACTGGTATGATATTAGACACACACATTTCAAGATTTACTGTGAAATCATTTGAAGAGATGTATAGTGGCCACATCAGGATGAATCCTAAATCACAGCTCTTGAGCAATAATCTAAAGAATATAATATAATCAGAATAAAATAAAAAATATTTTCTCTAAAGAATAACAATATTTTTTCCCATTGTGTCAAGAGGATTATTACAGGGAATTGTTCATTCTTCTGTTTATATGTAATTAGCCATCTGACAGACAGATCTTATTAACACAGACCTGAAACCTAAATTCAACTCAAAAGAGGATGACTGATGATTGGATGTAACTGAGTCTTGCTCCAACTCCACCTGCTGTTTCTGTGTTCCTCCTGCTAATAATATATTCAGCCTCTTCTCCACATTGACAGCGCTGTGTCAGGATTGCTCTAATGCCACCAGTATGCTACATTTGGTGGTGGCAGATTTTATCTTGGGTTTTAAGCTTTTGCCCAGTTTCAGGAAAGAAATCTCAAACACATTTTTATAAAATCCATTGTTGTAAAAATGATAACTAGTAAATATTCATTTTCTAATGTTTTGTGCTTACAGTGGACATCTACAAATAGAGATGTAGAGTTGATCTGTCCATACTGATTCTCAGACTTGCAGTGGTAAATGCCTCTGTCCTCAGAGCTGATGGAGTTGAAATGATAAATGCCTTGTAGTTCTTGCAGTGGTGTTTGGTTCTCCTTGTACCAGGTGTATTTAGCTGCTGGGTTAGCATCACTGCTGCAGGTCAGAGTCACTGAACTGCCCTCCACTATCTCAGCAGAGGGACTCACTGACACAGAGGGAAGCTTTGGAGCATCTGGAGGAGAACATATATAGAAATAGAACAGTTATAACATAAAATAGCTAGTGTAGTGTACAAACAGTGTGGATTTGTGCACTTTATATCAAATAAATTTGGACTACTCCAAATTCTTTCTCTCTCCCTGGGAGAAAGAAAAGGAGGGGGTGAGATATCAACTCAACAGACGGCTGAAGAGACCCCAAAGGAAAAGGTGAAAGGTTCGCTTTCCCTATGCTGTTTCTGGGCAGTCTGATCGTAAAACTGGCCACCTCTGATGCTGCTGCCAGATAATGCGGTGTCTGACTGTTAAAATGACAAAGAAACGCTCACCAGAGATTAGCTTTCTCCTGAACAGCCTATCGGAACTCTTCTTAAGAGAGGGCAGGAAACCCTCAACTGCCCGCCCCCCCCACACGTAACCTACGTCACATCAAAGGATATTCTCCTTTTCACAGCCAGATGCAAATTTGAGGAACTCCAGGACACAGGAGGACAGCCCTGAACGCCTTTGTGTAAACAAAAGAGTACTGTCTCCTCAAAACTCAAGGCATTACCTTGTTTAATTAAATAATCTTTTAGTTACTTGATTAGGTCTCTCCACTCCATTTGAGTAGTTATGTTAGCATGTTGGTGTTATTTGTTGTTGAAAAGAAGTTAATTTTGCAGTGTTTAATTTTCAGCAAGGATCCGTGACCGTTATTCATTCTATGTTGTAATCAATGCTTTGTTCACAACACTTTGTGACACTTCCTTTAGAAATGATGACAAAGAAATGGCATCCTATACCCGATTCATTTTCCAGCTCGAATTTAATAATAAAATAACTAAAATGACTAAATTCCCCAGCTCCTGAGCAGAAGGTTGTTTTAGGGTGAATCAAAGCTATCCTCGTGTAACCGAGCTCCCCCAAGTGGACAAAATGAGTATTACAGGCCATCGTCTGAAATGCCGTTGAATGTATAAATGTCACTCTGTATTTATCTTGTCCATAATCTAATGCCATTCGTGTATCTTGCTTATATTCTCTAAGAACGTGTAGCCAATATATCCAGAAAGCTAGTTAAGTTCCTCTCATCTGTGATTCTGAAAGGCTAACCTTAAGGTCTAACTACTGACAACTGTTTTCCTTTCTATCAAGTGCTTAAAACTAAGAACAGCATACCCATTTGACAATTAAGGTTTGATTGTGGGAAGATATTTGATTACAATACGCGCAAATAGATTTTTGATTAACTTTAAGTAACAAAGGACACCTGAAAGAACAGCCTAATTGCCAGACCGAGGACGGTCAACCCTTGAGGGTTTTCTTCATCCGAGACACGGAAAACCCCGGAGAATTCCCTAGCAGAAAGCCAGGAAGCAGCTAGCGTGAGACCCGCGCAACAGGCCAAGGCAGGCCGCTGACCCACAGTAAGGCAAAACAAGGCATTCTGGGATTCTGTGAGTTGTTAATAGATTATCTTTAATTGTGTATTTTAACCGCATTTTTATATTCACCTTAATTAGTTAATAATTTCACTGTAAGTTGTTGTTCAAAGGAATTGTGTGTGTATTGCCAATCTCCAAGTCCCTGCCACGAGAATTTACCCCTTCGATATGAGACTGACTGACTGATTTAAGATAATTGAGCAATTATTAACTAACTGATCACTAGTAAATAATTGTATAATTATTAGAACACCGCCCAGAGTCTCTGGACCTCTGGGTGGTGTTCTAATAATCTCAAGTGGTGCTCTGCGAAACGAGAGCTTTATGAATGAATATTCTCTGAATATTAAAATTCATAATTTGTATTAATTCTCATAAATTTATTAAAACATAGTAGACATGCAACACTAGCCATTATTTATCTGATCCCTCTGCTCCACTTGATAAGCTGTGCTGCAGGTTCCCAACATGGTAAGAGAGAAAATGTGTAGTGACTATGACACTGAGTCAAAATACTTAACATGTTGACAATGGGCAAGACAGTCATTTACATGGTGAATTAATCCTAATCTATTAAAGATGTGAGCGCAGTAAAAAAAAAAAAGCATGTCTATGTTTCACATGACACATCTAAACCAAAAACACAGCACGTCACAAAAAGACAGAGCGTTGAAAGAATCATTGGTCCCTGCAGTCACCTCTCCTGTCTGTGCAAAATGCTGTTTAAAGTTTAGCTGAAGCTAACGTGAGGTCTCAGTAGTCCCAGTCAGGCTAACTGAGTGGGTATCTTTGTCCTGGTAGTTGTGTGTAGGTTTACTGTCAGTGTCTTGGGAAGAAACCTACAGACTATCAGGACATGTCGGTCCAAGGCCCTGATTGTGACCTCAGCACTTTCAATGTTACTCCGTGTTTTGGTTTGTGATCTACATGAACAGGGTGCTTTCACATCTAACCTGTTTAGTTTGGTTGAAAAAACTCTGATGTGTTTTCCTGATTAGTACCAGCCTGTCCTCACCAGAAAAGAAAAATAAACTGTATATTGTTTGAATCATATGTACATTTTTTGAGACCAATAGTGACCGTATGAAGGTAGCAAAGGAGGAACAGGAGACCAGCATTCAAGTCCCATGTGAAACTAAGTCAATGTTGAGATATTTATAGTTTTATGTTATATGGCATTACTGACATAGGCGGTTTCACCAATGAGCAGAGGTGAGAAATTGACCAGGGCCTCAGCCACCAGGGGGCCTCGCGATTTCTCTCTCCTTTTAACCTCCTGTTGTGATTTCCTCACGTAAGGAGACGGTGCGGATCATGTTATGTAGGTCTATATAGTCGGCGATTACGTAAGCCAGTTGCGTCATTTTTACATAAATAGTGGAGCTGTCCCCGACACCTCGGAGTTTCTCTTATTTACGGCGGTTGCCTGTAAGAAGTCAAAGACGATGTAAGTTGGACTCTATATCAGTACAGAGTCTGTTGTTACGGCGGATTAACCTCTGCTTAAGTCGGTTGTGGTTGGTAGAGGTGTGCTGAATGTTGAGTGTGTATGCCTTTTGTTTTCTGATCTGTGTGTTTGCAGGGCTAGCTAACTTTCTCATGTGCTTGAATGCTCCTAGTTGAAGTGAGCAACCTGCCACACATGGGGTGTCATTTAGACTGGGTTCGTTGGTGAGCATTTGTTAAAATGTTCAGAAGAATAGCTTGCAACAAGAAATGTTAAAAACCAATGAAACTGCTTTGACAAAGGTTTATTTGTAAGAAAACATGCAAAGCAATGTAAATATAGAAGAAACAACATTGCAACCTAAGTAGTTTTGTTGCCTAAAACTAAACAAACTGCGACCGTTTCACAACGTTAATACATGTTTAATGTCATGTGACTTATGTAACGTTAAGGTCTAGTAGGCCTGTTGCTGGACTGTTACTTTCCAATGTTTATATATAAAGTTTTGGGAGGCATTGTCAAATGACCTATTTTGTTATGAGGAAGTGTTGGTTCATTTGGGCTGATGTGAAAGCTGTCAATGGAACTCTGGTGCAGGCCATACAGCTGGACCAGGACCAGGAGCAGTACGCAGCAATGTATACTTTTTCCCTTCTCTGGCCCAAATGAACCAAACTGCAGGTGTGAAAGGACCCTTAGAAGATAATTCAAAACATTTATGTTCGTATACAGCAGCAGCTTGCGTCTTAAAAAGAATTTGTCTAGACAGAAAAAAGGTTAGCTCTGAGCAAAGCCAATGTTTGAATCCATTATTTTTTCAGGTTGTGCCACTCTGCCCTGCTCTTCTTCTTTGCTGGAAGCTGCAATCTGTGGAAATACCAGATTGAAACAGTGTTTTTTCCCTTGGCAACAACATTGTACCTTTCTCAGCCGACAGTGGACTTTGGTGAAATTACAAAAAAAAAGCCACCCCTGGATAACAAGTAAAATAGTAAAGCTGCAAGCAGTGTTGGACGAGCCCTTGCATGTGTAGCGCGTCAGGGAATGCTGTGGCCATGCCGCAGATGCAGCAGCTCTGACTACAAGGTTCTGAAATGTCCCGTGCTTTGGATGCTGCATGAAGGACTCTATGCCCTGTGTGGTGCTAGAGCGTACCCGGTAACTATATGTTATGTCCCAACATTGTGAAAATATAATTTAAATTGCATGATGAGTATCAGATATACTATATAGATATACTATAGATATGCAATTGAAAGAAAACTAATAAGCTTTACAACATGACATCCTCAATGGTGTTAAGGTTTTCTGAGATAGTTTTGAAGTAGCTGTAACCAACCTGCAAGAAGTGCTTCAACTCTTCAACTTTTAATCATCAATGGCTTTAGACTTGACAGCGAAACTTTAAGGTCAATTGGACTAATTCTCTAGGAGGAGTTTGTAACAGTACGGAGCCTGTAAATTGCCAAAAATGACCATAAAATTAAAATTACTGACTTCCTGTTAGGATTAGGGCATCGCTCCAAGAGGCTTTTTGTAGGTCTGGACATGCTTCAGAAATTTCAGACACTTAGGTGTAAAGAGCTGCTCTGTAGGGGGGCGCCAACGAGTCATTTTTCCACGCCCATGAAATACGTCATTTTTCGGCTCACACTACTTTAAGGTACAAATGTTAAGTGAAAATATCTGAAATCATCCTTTAAACACTGTGATATAGAAAATGTTAATGTTTCTCCCAACCTGAGCTCATCTGACGTTTACAGCCTCTATCTGTAATTAAACACATTGTATGTCGAAGTGATTTGCTGATGTTTTGTACTTACACTGAACATCTATGGATACAGATGTGGAGTTGATCCGGCCATACTCATTCTCAGCCTTGCAGTGGTAGATCCCGCTGTCCTTAGAGCTGATAGAGGTGAAATGATAAATGTCCTCTGGTCCCTGAATCAGTGTTTGGTTCTCCTTGTACCAGGTGTATTTAGCTGCTGGGTTAGCATCACTGCTGCAGGTCAGAGTCACTGAACTGCCCTCCACTATCTCAGCAGAGGGACTCACTGACACAGAGGGAAGCTTTGGAGCATCTGGGGACAAAAGAGAGACAACTTATCAATATTTGTTTACAGGCCTGTTTTTAGACATGGGGTGCCACGAGCTAGGAGGAGCAATACAAGTTATTATTTATTGATTCATTTGATTTATTATTCTGATGTCCCAGTTGTTACTTTGTTATCAGCCTGTTTTAGAAATCCTGCTTCATGAGTAAATTAAACTCATATGAGGATGAGAATTCCTGATTATTTGGATGTAACTGAGTCTTGCTCCAACTCCACCTGCTGTTTCTGTGTTCCTCCTGCTAATAATATATTCAGCCTCTTCTCCACATTGACAGCGCTGTGTCAGGATTGCTACACATACAAATCTTTAGAAACTGGCAACTCTATTTTAACGTTTTACTATGAAACATTATCAAAAATCCATCCATGTTCATTTAACTCCAGCTAAGAGCTATTGGCTTTGACATCAGCAATAGAAGTTACAAAGCATCTCCATAACAGCTAAAACATTAAATGTAACAACAACATATTTTAGACTTTAAATATTCCTGAATCACAAAATATTCACGTAATAGGAAATAATTTTAACATGTTATTTCACAATATTAATATTGCTTTTCTAATGCTGGTAGTTTTTTCATCTATAAATAAAGTTCCTGCATCCACATTAAGATTTAGAAGACTTCAAAACATCTGAAATTGTAATTTGTATTGTAATGTCAGTGTGTCTGATTTTTCCTGACACAGTGGACTAAACTCACACACTGAAGGAGAGCAGAAATCCTCATGTCCTTTTACAGCACAGGAGATGATGTCTCCAGGATAAAACTGATCTTTATAAGAAGATGTCTCCACCCTTTCCATTTTCTGTCCATTCTTGAACCAGACGTAGGAAGAACGATCAGGAAGACGACAGCTGCTGTGACAAAGCAGCTCTGCCTCAGTATAATTCTTGTAGACTGTTGATCTGATCACCTGCACCTGGAGATCTAAATCTGTGGAGAAAAAACAGAAATATTTGTTTTTTATGTGGAACTGAATCACACACAGAGACACAGATCAGTTAATCAAAACAATTTTTTCCCATTAGATCAATATTCTGCACGTTCACTTGTCATCAGATAGTTTAAATGTGCTGTTACAGTTTGTGTTCATCAGTACCTGTGACAGTCAGAGTTGTACCAGGTAAACTACTCCTCCATTCAAAGCTTCCTGCTGTGAATTTGAAGTGATACTCAGCTGAGTCGCTCTCTCTCAGGTCAGTGATTCTCAGAGTGGAGCGTCCTCTCTCTCTGTTTCAAGGACCTGAACACGACCTGCATACTGGGAGTCTTCACTAAGGTCCTCAGGCTGTGAGGGATTCTGCCACTGAAGACTACGTTCAGGTCTGAACCAGAATTTAGATCTGATAGTGTCATAACTGTTGTAAGTACAAGAAATGTCCACTGATGAGCCTTTGACAGCACAGATGCTTCTGTCAGTGTAAGTCACTCTGTTGCAGATTTGACCACGAATACCTGAAAGATAAAACAGTTTAAGACCATCTTTAAACCAGATCTGGTGAGGAGTCACGATGAGGGTCTCTTTATTTAAAATACATGTAGTGATTCGGCTCCACCAGATGGTGTTATGTTTAGTGGAAGATTGAGGAGTAAACTCACACACTGAAGGAGAGGGGAAACCCTCCAGTCCTTTCACAGCACAGGAATAACTGTCTGGAGAACCAAAGTAGCCTGAATAAGAAGATGTTTCTTTCTGAATTTTCTGTCCATTCTTGTACCAGATGTAGGAAGGACGATCAGGCAGACGACAGCTGCTGTGACAAAGCAGCTCTGCCTCAGTAGTAATCATGCCAACGTTTGGTCTGCTAACCTGCACCTGGAGATCTGGATTTGTGAAGAAAGAACAGGAACATTATTTTAGACCATAAATACACATGCACAATGCAACATATTTATATAATTATTTAAAATCAGATGAACGTTACCTGTGACAGACAAAGTGACTCCAGGTGAACCAGTAAATCTTCCACCTGGTTGGTTTGTTATGAACATGAACTTGTACTCAGCTGAGTCGCTCTCTCTCAGGTCTGTGATTCTCAGAGTGCAGATGTTGTTAGAACAACTGTACTGCAAACGACCTGCGTACTCTGAGTCTGTTCTCAGATCCACAGGTACATCTCCATTCATCTGAGTAAACCAGAATGTTTCCTCAACTGTAGTATCACGGCCATTTATTCTGGATGGGTGTGTGTAGGTGCAGCTTATTTCCACTGTTGATCCTTTTAAGGCACAGATCTGAGTAGAGGTGTAAGTCACTCCCCAGCCATTCTGAGCCTGTATCACTGTAACACAGAGCACATCAGAAACTACAGTCAGACTCAACAACATCAGGACACAGACTTTCATTTGTAGTGGAGGTGCTTCAGTGTGTGAAGCTACATTTTCCAAAACTACTTTGCATCCAACCAGCAGGAATGTGGGACTTTTACATATAAATGAACATTACATTCAAACCATTTCCAAACAAGTTCACACAATGCTGATTAAGCCTATCACTGCCAAGTAACTCTGTCTGTATTGGCAGTTTACCAGAGTTTTTAAATCCCAATGTCTATGACAACATTACTGCTCTGGTGAATCGATAGTTACGTGTTTTATGCCAACCAGCAATGATCGGTTTGCCAGAACTGAACATAGGAGCGACTGTAGCAACAGCAGCAATTTCGCATGGCAGAGCCTGTATATATATATATACTGTATGTCAGAAGTGTTGAAAGTTCAGCACTGTAGGTTTAAGTCAGTGTGAGAACAATAATCTCAGTGTTCTCAGAATATTTTCCTAACTGTAACTGAATACTAGATTTATTCTGTATCACAAGTTTTTCTTGTAGTTTTACTTCTCTGTTGGGGACTTTGTAAAGTCTGTTTTAATATGTTTTAAATGTTCTAATTACTTCTGGTTTATGCCTTCAATCAATCAATCTAAGTCTTCAAATCATTCACTTTACATGAGAATATAAAACGCAAAGGAACCAGAGATGAACACGTGACAGCAGGACATCATACAGAGGGTGCAGTGAAGGAACAGCGATGTACTGAAACTGTGTATTTACTGAACAGGATAAAAAAGCGGAACATTAAATATTAGAGGGGTGTGATAGGCTACATGAAAAAAGGAGTCTGCTTTGCTCAGTTGCTTTCCTGTCTGTGGTCGGCTGCTGCAGAGTGTGAATGGAAACTGTAGAGAAATGCAGACCACTGAGGTGTGGACAGCTACTGTGGTATGTAGATAACAAAACACTTATTATTGTAACTTAATGAAAGTAATAACAACATTGGCTGATTCCCATGTCTGTTTTAAAGGTGGAATTTTCAGTTATAGCTGTGTTCAGGATACATATAATATATGAGATATATTTTTAGATCAACACAAATATACATAATTCAGTTTGTGAACCTCTCAAACCAACATATCTGAATTTGCAGCATCAGTGAATCTGTGACATATTCAGGAATATCGGAAATACTATAATAGATTTAATTAAACATTCCCCTAATTTATTCCCCTAACTTTATTTTTAGCTTCTTCTATAAAATCAAATGTACAAACTGAGGTCATTCATTTCCAGGCAGCAGCACACCCAGCTTGGTCAGTGTTTGTAGGTGGGGAAGTAGGAAAACGTCTGGCTCGTTAGCAGCTAGCCATTAGCTATGGTCACCAGCTAGTCATTTAGTACTAGGCAGGTAGTGTACAGTGTGTTTTTAGAGCCTTTTCACTGAAATCAGCTGCAGCTGCTGGAAACAAGGCTGGTGAGAGCGAAACAAAACAGGAAACTCTCTGTAGAGGAACTGCAGATTCAGGTGATTATTCTCTGTGGCTTCATTACTACAACCAACATCTTCAACATTATACAGTTATTCAAACCATTGTTAATATAAAAATATTCATTAGTGTGACTTTAAGTTTTATTATCTACCTTTCAACTCCTACGGTGAGTCATTTCCTATTAAATGAAAGACATGACACTGACTCATGTTCTCTGATGGACGTCTTGTAAAAACTTGAAGAGAGAAGTTAGTGTCTGGTGTTGCAGGGGTCGCACCACATTGCATAACATCACATATCAAATCTATTTATTTACTAAGAAACCCACTTCCTCTGATTTTCTGAAGTGTGCTAACACAATATAAATATGTCCAGTACCTTGTACAGAGAGAAGGAAGACAACAAATCCACTCGCTGCTGCTGTTAAACTCATAGCTGCTCCTCACGTCTGTTAAATCAGCAGGTAGATCAGATACATGAAAGTCCTGTATGTCACTTAGTCCCAATGAACATTTCTAATGAAAAAGGGAGGACGCTGTCTTTGAAGACAGTTGTCTCTGTGCTTGGTACTCTTGTGTTAAAACAGATACTGAAGTGTTAAAGGCCGCCCTGACTTTCTTCCTCTTCACATCATTAGTATGCAGGAACAGACTGTACATCTCCAAGTTGAAATAAAGACATGATTCTTACTGTTGTTTTGCAAATGATGCATTTTTTACTTTACACAACAACCCAGGTCTCAGTTTGTACATCCTCAGCTCCTCACCTTGCCTCCCGTCATCATTTCAATCTTTTCATTGCATCTTAGTCCCCCCCACCTTAGAAGCATGGAGAGACACAAGAAAAGTCAAATCTTTTCCCCCACCAGCTTTCTGACAACTCTTACTGGATTGTTCTCATTGCCTCTGTTGATTACTTTAGTTAAGGTTTGGTTTAGGGTGGAGTAAGGGTTAATATTAGCCAATCAGAGACACCGTAGCGGGAGAGTGGGGGCAGGCCTTGACACAGAGCTGGTGGAAGTTGTTGCAAGGAAAACATGCAAGGAGAGAAGAACAGAGGAAATACGTCTTTAGAGAAGCAGCTGATCATCAGCTCTACCAGCTGTAGTAGAGACTTTGTCATACATTGAAGGCCCTACATACCCACACAGGTGTGCAGGATCTTTGAACTACCCCACAAGTTAGAAGAATATGGATGGA